AGAGAGAGAGAGAGAGAGAGAGAGAGAGGGAAAGGTGGATGCAGTGCAATTTTGTCCCATTATAAACAAAGTGACGCGCAGGTCATCCCTGATGGCCCCTACTGGTTGTGACTGTCAAACTGTCGTTTAAACAGCCTCCATCCAGTGGATATCTCGAAGTAGCATTCACCTGCGACCGTTTATCAGATTTTCTAACCAGGAAGTCTCTACACACGGTCGGTGAACAATCTAATAAAATGGTATCAGGAATTCTGTTATGCGGTTTCGATAAGGAAGTATAACTTAAGTGACTATCGTGCAGCATAATCCCCAGATAATTCAGACCTTCGAATGCACCTCTTTTCGGCCGCCTACAGAAAAATCGGTCGAAAAAAACGATTACTTAATTACTATGTTTTTTTTGATTTTCGATGTCGTTATACATCTACTTGTACCTATGGAAAGCTTGCACAAAAAAGCAGTTTCTCATAGTTATTTGGTGGAAACCCACTTCTTCTTCTGAAAATTTTACATTCAAAAGTGTATATTTTGGTTTTAAAAGTTTGTAAATATGAGAGCTTTTAGGACCGTGAAACGCCCATTCATATGGCGTCGTATCTGTACGTTTCTAAATGTTCCTCATGAAGTATACAACATAATCCACGTTCATTGAAAATGGTTATGGGCCTTGTAGGATATCCTCTTAATGACGTAGAAGAATGTACGATCTTCCTTACGCGGAAAGTTTGCGGCTTGTGGACTGAAAATCCTAAAAACTATGTAACGACAAGGGAAGCTCAAAATTATTCGAAAATTGAAAACTTTCGGGGACCGAAATATGTCCTTTTTGATTACAATATTGAATAAGACGTGAGTTTTTACCGGGTAAGCACACAAATTTATATTTTTGTCCATGTTTTTTATAAAATGTAGTTGAATTTATAAGGACATCGAAAATCAACAGAAAAGTGCATGCCACTTGGGTAATCACTTTTTTCACCGACTGAGGTTTTTGTGGGTGACCGAAAAGAGATGCATTCAGGAGCCATCATCCTGACGTATCCAAAACATTATGGGATTATTTAGCACAAAAATAGGTATTGCTACCCCACCTAAGTAGTCTCTCCTAATCGAACCGGTATGTCATAATTCCTTTTAGAATTTCACGAAATCGGTCACTAACTGCAAGCCTTGCAGCATGCCTACAGACTCGAGTGTGTACAAAGCTGCATTTATGTGCACAATATTTCCATTTATTCGGACCATTTTCCGCAAACGGTAACGATTAAGTAATTAATCATCTAAGACGTTTTGCCGATTTTGTGCCCACAAAATGGTATTTACTGCTGCGAAAGGTGAGCCGACGATGTTTTCCAACACGACGCAAACAATCAAGTGGTGTAGAAAAGAATATCTCCATTTATATCTGTTGGACAATGTCGCCGAATGGGAAAACCATACCTTGAAGCTGAAAAAAGCAAATTTCCCCGTTGAATCCTCCTAAAATTAGACGCTTCAACGTCGGTTGCATATATTCACTGGATCGCAGCATGGCTTCGCCCGGAAGATGGCATCTCGGTCATGGTAACGTTTTTCTTTGAAAATTTTTTCATTCATTTATTGTCTTGTTTGACACACACTATCAGACTGTAAGCAATATCTCCCCAGAATGAATTTAAAGCGTGCATAGACAGCAGAATTTATTGGAACCAGTAAATTTCGCGACGACTTATCAACTGCAGCCTGTCGTTGCATAAAACAGATGACATGTGAGAAAGATACAGAGGTTTTAACTTCCACAGACAAAATCAAAGTAAAACAGCAAGATCATCGTATACTGCACGCAGACTAATCAATAAAATGGTAACTTGAAAACGCAACATAGGAAAGAAAGTGGGGAAGTTAACACGCCGAAAGATTTCGTAAATCAAATGGTCTCAGATCTACCAGGGTAAACTGAAGTTGACCACATGGTCCAACTGTTTACATAGGTCGGATTTCTGCCGCCGTATGTAGGCTGCCTCCGGGTAGCGCAGTGACCGAGTTAATCGTGTTCGAATTTGTACTCTAAAAGATGTTTTGGGGTCAACTGAATGACCACTATCAAGGAGGTGTTTTGTAATAGAAGACCGCGGAATCTTGTTCTCCTGCTTTAGAAGCCATTTAGGCAGGTGCTCAGCTGACTTGGCTGCCAGTTGCCTTTGCTTTCGGCTAATGTACTTGCATCCACAAGTGCATGTAAACTCATAAACACAAGTTGACGTGGAGTGCAATGGTAAGGCATCCTTCGCCCGTGGAATTTCGATAGCCTAAGTAGGGCTGCAGAATATGAGTTCAGCTGAGTTGTATGTTCTTTCAATGGGGAATCTCAATCGCCGCTTGATGGTATTTGAGATATTGTCGCCCTTAAAGGGTAAGGATATTATAACGGGCTTTTTCGGCACTGATTGCTCCGTCAATTTTGGCCGTAAAGTGTTGCTATACTTTTCGATGAATCGTGTTGGATATCCCCGTTTGAGCAGGGCTGTTTTGAGGCTAGACATTTCATTATCCAGCTTTTCAATAGAGCAAATGTTTCTTGCTCTGTGGAATAGAATGTAAATCAAATTTCGCTCTCGTTGTTAGGCACAAAGCTTAAAAATTGCAGGTGTTGGCCTTGCCATGTATCCTCGTGGAAAACGGGTCGTTTTATTAAAACATCTTCCTGTATAGTCATGAGGACATCCAGCAAAGAAAGCTTGTTGGACTACTCCTTTTCCATTGTGTATTTAATCTTGGGACGGAGACGATTCATGGCAACAAGTAGGTCTTTGGCTTCATCTTCGCTATCAACAACAGCAAAAATGTCGTCTACATATCTTTTGTGCAGTGTTTCCACATTCAATTTTGCTGACAACTTTTCTTCTAATTGACCCATAAAAATGTCGGCAAGGGTTGGACCAGGTGGATTTCCCATTGCTACTGCATCAGTTTGTCTGTATAGCTGCCTATTGAACGGAACGTGAACGTTTTTTGTGCAAAGTTTCAACAGGTCACGTAATATTTCGGGTGAAAGGCCGGTTTCGGTCGCATGGACGCATATAAAATCGATTGTCTCATCCAATGGTACATTTGTGAATAGTGATACAACGCCAAACGATATCATGCTTTTGTTGGAAATGTTCTGATGCCCTATCTATTTAATCAAATGGCTGCAGTTGATAAGCCGTCGCAAAATTTACTGGTTCCAATAAATTTTGCTGTCTATGCCCGCTTTAAACTATCAGACTTGTTTCCAAAGTCGAACTGAAGATGCTAAACTGGCACCCGGACCTAAAAAAAAAACGCTTTCTCCCCTTCTTCTAGTTCGGAAAAAAGCACTCCCCCATTTCCTACCTTTTGCCTTTAGGAAGGGTCTACCTTGCCTGATGATGCAGGTGCGTTTGCATTCGCCAGCATCGCCATAGTTCTGATAACTTTGCTCGTCAATGCTCCCTGGTATTCACCTGTTGACCCCACCACACATGCGGAAAGTCTGCCCAAATGTCTTCTATCACTATCACCATCATCGAGGTGTCTGGAGACAAGTAGGAAGTGTGCGTCTCGGCTCCTGCTCCATGCGGCCTCCTGCTGAATGTGTGATCGAAGTCTGTGACGAAGACGGTAGGTCGAGCGCCGTGGCTCGGAGGGCAACCGACTGACACCCCAACTCAGTTCACGAAGTCTGCCCAGTTGTGTGTGTTGTGTTGTTGGGCTGGTGGGCTGAGAGCCAAGCTGTCACGGCCCCTTCGTAACCAATCTATTACACTCTTATGAATGTGAGGGGAGTTTATTTTTTTTTTCTTTTTGTTTGTGTGTGTGTGTGGGGTGTAGGGGTGTCCAGCGGTGGGTTCACGTGAAGGTCGTAGTGGTCGCTCACTTGCTTGCAGGTGAGACTACGCCTAGCGTCCATTTGCTGGCACCCAACTCTCACCTGTGGCTCCACGTAGCTGGGCTCTGCTCAGCGGCCACACCCCGGGCAACCGCCTCGACCGGCGGGCTAAACCAGGTGAGGGCGCTGTGCGCTTGTGCCGCGCGCACAGTGTACTGCGGGCTCCGCTGGACGTTTGGTCGGATGAAACGTTGCGCCGGCGTCGTCGAGACGAGGCTCTGCCTGGTACGCCGTTGGACAGCTGCTGCCGGGATTGGTCCCCGCATCGCCTTCGCTGAGACGCGCCCACCTACGCCGACGGAGACCGCAGACCTCGGCATATGCGGTCGTTCTCCACTACAAACATAAAGTCGTGGTCCCACAGTGGGATTCGGTCGCGCCAAACAGGCACACAGGCAGCCCGATTCGGGGGGCACTGCCTGTCCCCATTACGGGGAGGGCCTAGAAAAGGTGGCCTAAACATTGCTGGGCACCACGCCGTCTCCAGGCTAGCCAGGGCCGCTGACGTCTAAACATGGTCGAAACACTCAAAACCGAAACAACAACAATACCAATAATAACAACAACAACCATACTCCTTCTCCTCATCCTACCTCTTCTACCTCTATCTCCGTCTATTCTTCTGCCTATTCTTCTCCTTCGTCA